TTCCCATTAGAACTGACCAAAGTTATTTCTGGTACCGTATTTATTTATATAAGTTGTAAAAAATGCCTAAAAACATGGAAGTCAGTTTGTGTTGTTATTCGGTCGCTCAGTTGTGTCCAACTTTTTGCGACCCCATGGACTGCAGCACACCAGGTTTCCCTGTACTTCACCATCTCCCGGAGTTTGCTCAGACTCATTGAGTTGATGATGCCATCCAACCATCTCATCCTCTATTGTCCCCTTCTTCTCATGCCCTCAATCTTTCCCAGCATCGGGGTCTTTTCTAATGAGTCAGCTCTTCACATCAGGTGATCAATGTATTGAAGCATCAGTCCTTCCAATGAATATTCAGGGTTGATTTCCTTTAGGTGTGATCTCTTTGCTGTCCCAGAGACTCTCAAGAGTCTTCTTCAGAACCACAGTTCAAAAGCGTCAATTCTTCAGCACTCAGCCTTCTTATGGTCCAACTCTCATATCCATACATGAGTACTGAAAAAACCATAGCTTTGACTAGAGGAACTTTTTCAGCAAAGTAATGTCTCTGCTTTTTAATATGCTGTCTAGGTTGGTCATAGCTTTTCTTCCAAGGTGCAAGCATCTTTTAATTTCATGGCTTCAGTCACCATCTGCAGTGATTTTGGAGCCCAAGGAGACAAAATCTGTGACTGTTTCCACTTTTCTCCCCATCTATTTGCCATGAAATGATGGAATTGGATGCCATGATGTTTTTTGAATGTTGAGTTTTAAGGCAGGTTTTTTGCTCTCTTTCACCCTCATCAAGAGGCTCTTTAGTTCCTCTTTACTTTCTGCCACATGTGAGGTTGTTGATATTTCTCCTTGTAATCTTGATTCCAGCTTGAGCTTCATCCAGCCTGGCATTTCACATGATGTACTCTGCATTTAAGTTAAATAAGAGGGTGACAATATACAGCCTTGATGTACACCTTTCCCAGTGTTGTCTGGTTCTAACTGGTGCTTCTTGACCTGCATATAGATTTCTCAGGAGGCAGGTAAGGTGGTCTGATATTCCCATCTCTTTAAGAATTTTCTACAATTTGTCGTGACCCACACAGACAGAGGTTTTAGCCTAGTCAATGAAGCTGAAATACATGTTTTTCTGGAATTCTCTTGTTTTTTTTCTATGATCTGGAAAAACCCAAATGACCTTTTTGGCCAACCCAATACATGAACCTAAGCATTGTTCAACTAACTGAGCCAACAGCCTTAGTGTTATTGGTTTTAGGTTTAAAGCTAAAATATATATATATATCTTAAACAGGGGATGTGGGAGGGTGTACTCTATTGTTTCTTACTTAGAATATAAAAACTGCAACTCCCAAAATATCTGTCATATTATCTGGGCTTCCCTGGTGGCTCAGATGGTAAAGAATCTGCCTGCAGCACAGGAGACCGGGATTTGATCCGTAGGTCGGGAAAATCCCCTGGAGAAAGGAATGGCAACCCACTCCAGTATTCTTGCCTGGAGAATCCCATGAAGAGAGTCTGGCAGGCTACAGTTCATGGGATTACAGAGCTGGACATGACTGAGAGACTAACACTTTCATCTTCATTATCTTGAAAAGTCTTCTCATTGAATGGAAAAATGACTTGTTTATACTCAGCTTTAATAGTCAAAATGTGAACTTTGGAGAACATGAAATACAAAGAGAAATCATGTTCATTATATAAACATAGGGTATTCAAATATTTATTTTACTGTAGGGAGTGTAATCAAGAAAATAACTGAATATTCATCTTCCAGATTAAATAACAATTTAGGAAGGAATGTTTCATAGTTTACCCAAAGTAAAACAGTACATCGGGTACATTTTTAGATTTTATTATCTTTAATGAACTGTTTAACATTTTTACAAATCTTCAGATTTTTAACAGTTTCCAGCAGTAAATATAGTAGTGATGGCATAAATACACTGAAATGTGAGATTCCTCTGATGAGAGAATACAAAAGATAGAAACACCTGGAAACAGAGGGCAAAACGTCAACTCTAGTTCTGAGATGGAAATTAACATAGTTAAATTCTTTACAACTCTAGTATGTGGAGAAATGAGTAACTCATTCCCTATAAATGATTATGTAACTTTGAGCTTCACCTTCCTGGAAGTTTTGAGGGGCATTATTTGACCCAAAGATCCCCAAAACTTTTATGTATTGATACCAGAGGATTCAAACATACAGAAAGTGATCTGAAAATGATTGCCAAAGCAAAGAAGTGCTTTTATTCCTCAACATTTGTGACCTTCGTGGTATACTGTGTATTATAAAAGGGCATAATCCCTATACAATTGCATAAATGTCATACAAATGGATTTTACAAATTCAAGATCATATGTATTCAAAAATACATATAGCTGTGCTTTAGTAAATGAATCCATCAGTTCATTGAGGGATAATTTTGCTTTTAAGTTATATCCAAAGTATATACAAAGGATCCACAAATGTTAACAATTTGTGACTAAAATTCTCAAGGTTTTCATTTGCAAAAAACTGTGATGGTTTTCAATTTAAAAATTTTAAGAAAGTTGTGAATATTGCCGGTTTATTATCACTTGGGTTAAGAAAAAGTAGATGGCTTCAGCTCTTTAACAGGAAATTTGTGAACTACTCACAAATGAGAAGTTACACATTTTGGATCATTAGAAAAAGATAAATTACCTATACTTCCCAATTGAGAACAGAATGTGCAGTGTATAAAAAAATAAGGTTTTATTCTGAAACCAATAAAAGTATTTCTAGAAAAGCCCTTGGGGATACATCTTCTCATTTCCTTTTCACAAGAATGAGTAAGTGGCATACCTTAATGGCACACCCTTATATCAAAGTGTGTATTCCATTACTAAGATGAGAGACTGAACATTTTTAAGGGTGGGAAAAATATACACTTAAAATGTCAAAGTTCAGTATATTACTATATAGTTTCTAACTTCATTCCAACCTAGATTGAAAAAAGAATACACAAAGAGATGTTACTGGCATGCAAAATTCATTGTTCCAACGTGAAACACTAGATCTATATTTTTAATAAAAACTGCACATCTGTTTAATTTGGCTAACAGAAAGAAAATGCACATTTAAGAAAGATGTTATCATATCCTTCTAATAAAGCAAGTCTATATCAAAGGCACTTCAGCAGAGCACTAACTCCTTAACCTTTTCCAAATCATTTTCATTTATGTCACCTTTAATACATCTTTCTGTGTAAAACCAGTAAGAAACTGCCTCTAATTTTGGACCTTATCACCCCTCCCTCAAAAAAGTAAATGTAGGTATTAACCAAAACATTTCTCTCTTCTATGGATTGGGGTAGAATATAGCAAACCTTTACCTAGATCTTTAAATTCTTTGGGTTAATACAGAAAGGAATGTTATCTGACAATTATATGCTTCAGAAATGGTTACAGGAAAAACCTGGCTGAAGTCTACTGTCTTGGGGGAAAAGCTGTTGTCTTTTGCTGTATATCTATCTACAGTTTGACTGAAGCTAATGTGGTTAATTTTAGTTCTTACAACTTGTTTATGTGCCTTGGGTCTCTATGTTGCTCCCATCTTAATTAGTAGTGCATGAGAAATAAAGCAATTTAGTTTCATTTTTCCCCCCCAAGGAAAAGGGTAAGCTGCTTCAGACATTTGCCTTTATGGAAATTTTAAGAAAAATGAGATGAGTTGATTTTAATTAACAAAGTTTCATTTTTAGGACATGAATGATAATTCAGAGTTGAAAGCACTTAAAATTAAAAACGGCTGTTGAATGTGTTCACACTAATTCTCTGCTATGATGAAAAGAATATATTACTTCCAAATCTGGAAAAAATGTTATATAACTTAAAAGTATTTAAGTGATTTAAGAAAAACCTTTTACTTCTCCTGTGAAATTGAAACTGTTGTTCCCAAACATTTTTTAGAATGTCAGCAATAAAAAAATCTGGATGTATACCTGGGATCCTGAAGGTATTCTTGAATCTCAAGAGAAATGGCATGTTTTTTCTGCTTGACATTTCAGAAAAAATTGAAATGTTTATTTTCCTTTAGCTCCACATATTTTAAGTTTGGATGTTTATAAGAAACTTTCAATTCATTGATTTCTTAAAATCAAGTTTAATAGTTTAAGTGACTTTTTTTTGAATAGAAGAAATATCTTAAAACGGATTTCAGTCTGTCTGTATCAGTGAGCCTTAAAGATTGGGGAGGGGGAGGAACGATTTTCTTTTTAAAGACTGGTAAAAATTTTTCTTGACAGCTAAGCTCATTTCCCTTTTGGTGATGGGGAAGGGGGTAAGAAATTTTTAAATAAAAATTCAGTATCAGAACATTCATTTCTCAGATTTCTAGATAAACTAACACCTTTTTATTCTGTGAAGTTTTATCCAAAAACAACCAAAGAGCTGGCATTTCCCTCTCTAACAACCAAGTAGCTTCTTGGTGAGTATGGAATTTACTTTTGGGTTGATACAATATACATGCTGTTTAAAAATGAAAGAAGATGTGGTTTGGCCTTTGAACTCTAGAATAACATCAATCCAGAACATTTATCCAGTTATTTTCAAGTATATGCAGTGGAGAATATAATAGTAACATTTCACAAGAGTAATACAGTTTCATTTCTAAATGTTTCACCAGGGGCTGTCAAAGCAGAAGCAATATTTTTGAAAGCAACTTTAGGAGTATACTTTTCACTGTTATTCTTCAGAGTCAGGGCTCAACTTGATGACTGAGCAACAATTTCAGATACTATTTTACATTTTGAACCCTCAGATACTTCAAATTCATCACCCAAAAATAAATAAATAAGCATAGGCCAGAAAAAAGCATTTCTTGGTATCTTTCTCACTACTGAATTACCATTTTACTATTTACTCTGCTTAAGACATGTCCAGGGACCATGAGATTGCTCAGTCTCAGCTTCTTCAGAAGTTCACACAGCAGTTTACAATAAAAAGCAAGAATAAACAGCACGAGACAACAGACACAACCACTCTTGGTGTTAATTTATGGGAATCAGTGGGCGTTCTTCTCGCTTCTTCCAGATGTTAGTTTTGCTATCTCTCTTTGCTAGTGGTGGTGGTCTGCCCCTTTTTTTAGTGGGGGATATATTGGCTTCAAAATCTTCAGCGGTGCTTTTTCTTCCTGGGGACTCTTCCCCAGGGTGCTCCATGATAGCTCCACTCCCTCCATCTAGGATGTGCCTTAAAGCTGGGTCCTCTGGAGAGCAGACAGTGGTTCCACTCTCACTACTGCTCAGGTCTAAGTCTTCTAAGTAAAGGATCTTAGGCTGATGCATGCTTTTGATGAACGTTTTCTCCCTCTCCAGTTTTCTACTTGAGTGGTGCTCATTCATGTCCACCCCAGAGTCCAGACTCGTGTCATTGCTCTGGGCTCTCTTGCCCTTTTTCAGGTCTATGAAGGAGTGCCTCACCTGTGCGACCGGCTTTCCATCAAGAGACACAAACCAGGCTCTGGGGTGGGGGGAGGGCTTTCCTTTGGACAGTTCTAGGAGGGTCTGTTCTGAAATTCCTTGAAGCTCTGATGAAAAGGGAGTCATTACAACAGCTTCATTTAGTGTTCCAGGGACAGAAACAGATTCAAGGAGGCTGTTTGAATACCGGCTCCAATCTGAAGTTTGGGATGGCAAACTCTGTTGACCTTCCAGTGGGATATTCTCTTCCCTGGCATCTGAGGGCTGGGCATGAGAATGCATTGGCATTTTCGGTAATGTCTGTGTAAAGTTCTCTCTATTTACTGGCTCCATCAGTTGGCCATAGACTAACTGTCCCTTTCTCGGCAGAGTAGCTGACTTAGCAGGATGCAACTGCTCTGGAGTGGGGAAGAGGTCAGATGTTTGAAGGATGGCTATGGGCTGGCTGTAGATGTGCATGATCTGTTCTGGAATGTGGGAATGCCCATATGCCTCTTCATTACCTGTGAGATACCTCTTTTCCTCTTGAGTATCACCTAGAGACGAAGACATATTGTTGTTAACATGTTTAAGTTGTTTGGACCCTACACTGGGCTCCAAAGACTGTGCTGGGTTTCTGGAGTAATTATTTTGATTAACTGACAGAAACGAAACATCTTCGTTGTAGATTTTTAAATTATCCCGAGTTTTCACCATGGAAACTCTTTCTTCTGCTTCCACCTTGGATGATTCCTTTTTCGGAGGGCTGTACGAGGAGCTTTTGGCATTGAATAACTGTGATTTGTCCTCATTCTTTAATGCAACTTTGACTGAACTGATGTGATTTATGTGAGTTGTTGAAGTTGTCTGGTCTCTCTTGAGGACCTCAAGTTTAGTGGTATTTCTTTCTCTTTTCTGTGGAGTACCACATTTATCCCTAGAGTAGAAGAGAAGGCAAAAAAAAAAAAAAAAATGTTTCAAACTTATCTAGAAGGTTTCATTTAAAAAAAAAAATCTGTTTATTTTATATATATATATATATATATATATATATATAAAATGCTACTGTTAAAATATATCCATTTTTATTTTAATCTATATTTTAAATCAAACCATTGCTTTCTACAAACTTTGTAATACACAGAACTTACATGACACTAAAATCAGACAGTTTGTGTTCACACTCATTACTATTGTTCTTACCTGCAATAACAAAGAAGTACAGCAAAAAATCCAATGACAATGACTATTGTTCCTCCTAATATGGCTGTAAGAAATACTGTGTGGTAGGCAGTTATGTCCTTTGAATCTCCATTTATACCTGACCCTAAATAGTTCAAAATAAACAAAGAGAAAATATATTACTTTAGGTCAGACTTTCAACTGTGTCCCATCCTGGGTGAGGCAGATTAAAGATGTGTACACAGGTCTATTAATTTGTTCCCCTCCCATGGCAGGCTTCTCTGTGGATGGAAAATACTTTCCCTACCCCTGTTAGGCTTAATCAGTTGACTTGCTGTGCCCAGTGAAATATGAGCACCTTAAATGACTCTGTATAAATTGCCTGTCCTCTGCTAAGGTCTTCTATTAAGTGAAAAGTATATCCTAAAGTTTTGCTATTCTTTTAACCTAGGTTCTGGAATGAGAAAATAATCTTAAAATTGAACCAGGTCAAGCCCAACAGTCACAAAATGAAAGCAACAAATAGAGAGCAGGCTTATTTGTTACTGATGGCTGAATGTTACAGAAAATGGTACCAAGATGCTAAAGTGCTGCTGTTACAAAACTTAAAATATGTGACACTGGCTTCCAAGTCAAGCAGTAAGGAAATTGTTGCAGGAGGTAGTAAAAATAGTGACTGAAGTTATGTGGTAGCAAAATGTTTGCTGGAATAAAAAATATTTCTAATGAGAGCTTTGTGCAAAGAGGTTTTGAGATAGAATGTAGTAAGCGTTGATATTAGCTGCATTCAATTTAAAAAGAAAATTTAAAGATAAATTTTAAAAGAATTTGCTATAGTAAACAGGGGTGAAAAGGCCAATGAGAATGCAAAAATTAGGGGCCCTGAAAAATCCAAAGTTGTAACTCCTTCAGACAGGACTCTAGAATAACATGGCGCCATGATCCCCATAAGCTAAGCCCAGCAGAAGCACAGTGACCCGTTATTCTTCTTTATGAGAAAACATATATACAATGTTGTGGTAATTACTTTGTTGTCTTTGTACAGTTGCTAAGTCATGTCTGACTCTTGTGCAACCCCATGGACTGTAGCCCACCAGGCTCCTCTGTCCATGGGATATTCCAGGCAAGAATACTTGAGTGAGTTGCCATTTCCTTCTCCAGAGGATCTTCCTAACCCCAGGATCAAACCTGCATCTCCTCCATTGCCAAACAGATTGTTTACCACTGAGCCACCAAGGAAGCCCCTGGAATTAGCTTAACTGCAGCAAAAGCAGACTAAGTGTGCGGATGATCAGTGGAGGTTCTGAATACTCTGCATGAAAGGAGATGCAACTTACCTTGAGGTGATGTTTCAACATCACTAGGACTTAATTTTGCTCAGAAACGTATACAACAAGTCTACTGATTAGTCTCAACTGGATTCTAATGTGTATTTGGGGTGATGAGACACCTGATTTTCTGCTCATCTCAACCATAAGAAAAAGTCCAGCATGAGGCTTTCAACTTCACCAAGGACGCTAGAAAGACTAAGGACACATAAAGACTTAGACCCTTTAACTTTTACATCATCTAAGTTGACTAAAGTATAGTGACATTAAAGGATTTGGGGAGAAGCAGTGTTTTGTTTATGCATTCAGACTTCAAAGCCAGAATGCCTGAACTGGAATCCTAGCTTCACCCTTTCTGTGTGGTGTTGGGCAAGCTTCATTCACTTATGTCTCAGTTCACAGCTGTCATACTTGTTACAACGATGAAATAAAATATTGACAACAGTGTTTAGCACACGATAAGCACTCAGTAAATGTTGGCTATATTATACCACTGTTGTTAAGTGAAATGTCAAGATTACAGAAGAACGGGCACTCCAGTACTGAATACTCTCTTAACTGGTAACAGATAATAAAATGTTTATCATATTGAGTAGGCAACCAAGCCCAGCATCACACAATATGACATTTCTTCAAAGAAAAAAGATAAGAGTAACAACTCTATCTGTAGATTACTATTTATGATCCAGAGCTGCAACAGAGTAAATAGTTAGACTATAACTGGGTGAAATTCAAGTTCTTCTCCAAAGCATGTCTGAATATACATTTTCACAATTGAGTAATGTAAGCAATTTTCACTCCACAGAATTCCAACAGAACTCACCTTTGGAATTAAGAGGCTGACACTGTTATATCTGTCCCAAATCTTAAGTGTATGACAAGAGCAGAAAAGCATACAACTGCATGTGTGTATGTTAGTGTGTATGTGCATGCCCAAGGGAGGTTAGAAAGTTAGAAAATTACAATAAATTTTCATTCTGATATTTGAAAATTAATGGTACTTGTTTGATTCTATACTCCGCTATCTACTTACCTATAATAATATGTGAAAAACTAATTGATTTTAATTTCTTGCACTTAATATTTTTTCAAGGAATTCTAGAAATTGGTTTAAGATTTTAAAAACATATTTAGTAATATTATTAACCAAATTATAGCTTCAGCACACCAGACACTAACTAGCCCATCACAGAACCAGTTTAATTTCACAGTAACATTTGCATCCTAAACTGTTTAAGGACATGAGTGATACTCATATCCAACTCCTGCAATTTAGAAAAAGGAAAACTAATACTCAGATGGGTAAGGACCCATTTCAAGCTCATCCTGTTAATTACTGTTAGAGCCAGAACTACAATCAAATTAAAGTTATCCATATTTCTCATATGGACTTTTCAAAAGCATAACTAGAAATTATCTAATAATCCTACATTTCTGTTAGTACTCTGATTCACACAAAGTTGTTCCCAACATAAAAGCTAAAACAAAACTTCTATTTTAGAAAATTATTTAAGCTTTTATAATTCAGTCATCTTGCATAAAAGGTATATTTTTAGTGGAAAGCACATTTCTCTGTAAAACTCAAGTGCTCCTGAGGTCATTTTTATCAGAAATGAAATAACTTGGATTTAGTTGAGTTGGAGTATTAAATATTAATTGTTCTTTTTCATCAATATTTTATAGTTGCAAATTTAGAATAGGATAAGATCAGACAGCTGGCAAGACTGCATGATATTTTGCACCATAAACAACAAAAGCAATCACCCTCTGGTTTCTGAATAAACAAACTCATAAGCACTACATTGAAACAAAAACAGAACATTCCTCATGATTATAATGGTTAACAGCTCATATTTCTTCTACTGGAATACTCTATTTTAGCTTCATTTTTGAAACAAAGTCTTGTTACCTTGCATGGTTTAAAAATCAAAGGCTGTCAAATGTAAAATGAAAATAAACTATATAAAAAGTTTCAAAAAACTCAAAAGCTTTCAAATAGGCAGCCATAACAAAGTTAGCCGATACACTGCTACTGAGAAATGGATGTAAAATGTTATCTGTATCCTGGATCAGGGCATGCACCAGGACTATCACTGAACAGCATGAAACAGCCAGGCTGCAGCTGCCTTTCAGCTGGAAGCCAAGACACTAGCTAAACCAAAAGAATTACTTCTGACACAATTAAAGATGAAGGAGGGACATATGCATTCAGCTTTTACACTTTCCCTAAACTTTACAAAAATGACACTGAAAGTTTTGCTCTGTCTTGTTTTCATAAATACACATGTCCACAGGTTTGAGGAGAATGAGAACAAAGACAGGGGCAACAAGATGCTGACAGCTGGCGAGCTGACTTAGCAGAGCAGGCAGCAGGGAAAACCAAGAAGCAACTCAACTTATACCAGCAAACACCCAGGAGGCCTAACGAGTGGTTGCCGGCCCACAGTGCAGCCAGTCTATATGACAGCAGGTTACAGTATTTCTTTTTTTAAGATGACTTAATGGATGAGATATGCAATGTTTGAGAATTGAGATATTTACACAACTCAAGATGTAGGATTTCTAAGTACAAAGTATACAGATAGATTGATAACCATGTTAATTTGATACCAGTTAAATGAGGAAAAATGAAACACTTATTTCTCCTAGAATATAGGACCATTCCTAGCACACAGCTCTTGGTTTTTGCCCACCTTCTGTTCATATGTCAAGCCAATCTTCATTTGGGCCATCACTTGTCTTACCCTATGAACACTAGGGACACTATTCAACAGTCCTTCCTCCTCCCCACCACACCCCCACCAAGGAAAATGCTCATGATCTAAGTCTGAAAATTCTTCATCCCTAGAAAGATCAGGAACAGTGTGAGGAAAAAACTGCAAAGGGTTAGGATCAGCTACCTTCAAGCAGCAATCTTCCAAAGACAGGAAGCAGGTCTGATAACTGGGTCCTCTAGGATTCCTGCCTTTTACACTCTGCTTTTTCAGCCTTCCCTAGGATCCTGCCAACTCCTGGTATCCTAATAAATGTTTCTAGTTGTCCAACATCTGCTCTTGTTGTTTGCAATCAAAAGCTCTTAACTGATCTGGGTAGAATTCATTCATAAAAAGCAAACTAAGAAAATTCTTGACTTGAATAAACTTTGTACTTCAGATTCATCAGGTATTACAGTTGTAAAGGACCCTAGAGTTCATGGAACTTAATCTTTCCCTATAAATCTGGAAAAAGTGAAATAAAGCTGAGATCAAGAGACTAGAAGCTTTTTCCAGTGTAATACAGTAAGTAGCAATGCTTAGAATAAAATGGGAAACTAATATCAGTTTCAGCATGATTATTTGGATTTTTTTAAGTTTATATTGTTTCATTTTTACCATACCTCTAGCTCCTGGAAGTGGAGCTGCTATCCAGTAGCCCAAATGTGGTGCATCATATGTCCAAATTAAATGACTGTTATATTCCTTGACCATTCCCTGGCCATGATTTACCCACGCACCTAAAAAGGAAGGCAAATAAAAAGTACTAATCAGTTAGCTTATATATCTTGAATGCTAATAAAAGTTTGCTGATAGTCATGTACAGAATACTTTGCAGGATATTTTCAAAGATGAAAACTGTGACAATATATTTTCATAGGATAATATATATATCCTAATATATATTAAATAAATAAATTGATTTGTTATGACCAAAGGATACAAAATAAATATAAACTTTACATCATATATAAAATCTATATAAATTTTATATAAATATAAAAAGGGTATCTACTTAGGGAAATCATATTCTCCAAATAATGTCTACATTGTTTATATTAAGATATGTCTTAGTAAGAATGTAATTAAATCCAAATTTATTGACAGATGGTTGTTACCTGCTCTGGGGTTCTGATTAAATGCTCATAGTGTGTGTTTTATGACCTTATTAACATTTTTATTAAACGCTGTTTTGTTCTAATACTGTTGGCATGATTCTTTTAGAACTAAATGTCTTAAAAAAGTGCTATTCTGATTCAATTAAATATCAACCACAGAAAAAAAGAATTCAGTAAAACCAGTATCTTTTATGAAATCCAGCATTACAAAGCTTGTTTATAAGTTTGGTCTAGGTTTGTATTTGTTTTACTGATCATTGTAATGATGTATATAGACAAACTTGAAATTACGGGAGTGAGTCAACCTGCTTTTTGAATAGTCACATTAAACTTAAGCAGTACATGTGATGAATCAATTCAAAAATTCTGCCACTGGAAAGTACATGAGAAACAGGCTTTTTTCAGGAGAAACAATCAGAAAGCAGAACTCAAAGCAGATATTCTTCTTTAAAGTGTCTTGAAACAATTCTCTCATTCATCAAGTCAGGGGATTGAGGCCAGAATAAGTCAAGTGACTTGTTCATCATCATATTGCTGGTAAATGGACCAGGTCTTACAGCTTTTAATCCAATGTTTTACAGTACTATACCACTGTGACTTATAAGATGACATTTATATATATGGTCTTAAATCCCCAGACAGAGCTCCTAAAACCTTGTAATTCCCTATGTGATAAGATCCATAAAGGTGGAAAGACTGTCTTTTCTTGTTGACAACAAGCCAATTTCAACCATGTCTGAGTTTATGTTTTTTTTTTTTTTGAGTTTATGTTAATGAGGTGAATTTTGGAAAGTCCCAGTGGATGGGGGCTGGTTGCCAGGGGAACCAACTGCACGTACCTTTCATCCCCACCCCCACACACCCCTGTAGAGAAGGGAGAGGGGCTGGAGCTTGAATTCAATTGTCATTGTTCAAAGATTTAATCAAGCGTGCCTACATAATGTGGCCTCCATCAAAGTCCCTGAACTGCAGGGTTCAGAGAGCAGAGCTGGTGAACACGAGGAGGTGCTAGGAAGGTGATGCACCCAGAGGAGAGAGCACTGAAGCTCCAAACCCCTTACCCTGTGCATCTCTTTCATCTGGCCATTACCAAATTGTATCCTTCTATAGAAAACCAATAACCTAGTTAGTAAACTATCTTCCTGTGAGCTGTTCTAGAAAGTTACCAAACTTGAGAGGAGGGTCACGGAAGCCTCCAATTTATAGCCAACTGCAGCAGGAACATGGCTGATAAACTGGGCTTGCAGTAGGCCTCTTGAGTTGCAGGTTGTGGGACCAAGCCTTTAACCTGTGGGATCTGACACTAACTCCAGACAGACAGGGTCTCAGTCAGTTCACTTCAGTCGCTCAGTCACATCCGACTCTTTGCTACACCATGAACTGCAGCACGCCAGGCCTCCCTGTCCAACACCAACTCCCGGAGTTTACTCAAACTCATGTCCATTGAGTCGGTGATGCCATCCAATCATCTCATCCTCTGTCGTCCCCTTCTCTTCCCACCTTCAATCTTTCCCAGCATCAGGGTCTTTTCAAATGAGTCAGTTCTTCACATCATGTGGCCAAAGTACTGTCGTTTCAGCTTCAGCATCAATGCTTCCAATGAACACCCAGGACTAATGTGCTTTAGGATGGGCTGGTTGGATCTCCTTGCAGTCCAAGGGACTCTCAAGAGTCTTCTCGAACACCACAGTTCAAAAGCATCAATTCTTTGGTGCTCAGCTTTCTTTATCATCCAACTCCACATCCATACATGACTACTGGAAAAACCATAGCTTTGACTAGATGGACCACTGAAGGAAATTTTAGGACACTTAGCTCATGTTGGAGGGTATAAGAAAAATACCCTCACATTTGGTGACCAGAAGTGAAACTTTTGAGTGCAGAATAGAGCTGAGAGAAGAGTTTGTCCCTTACAACTACCTTTGTTACTTGCATAGTTTCCAGGCTTTTTAAAATAATATATCTGTTTTTAACCTTCTGTAGTGAGCGTGTTTGTGCCTCACTACATACTTTTTCAGGTTCAATGAAACCTCAATTCCAAATCTCTTTGAGAACACACTGCTACCTCTTCTTAGTCCGCATGATTAGTTTAGGGCTCCAATCCCAGCTCCAACACATGACTTAAGCCTAAATAAATCTATGAAATCTATTTGCAGGCCACAGACATTTGTTCTGAGATGGGCATGCAAACCTCCTTCTAGAAATGCAGTGAATCCAAGGGCTTGTGTACTAGCTACTAGGAAAAGAATTTCTCTACCTTTTGGACTTTAACCTGGGCAGTATAAAGTGAGAGCACCTACAGCCTTCCTGCCACTCCAAAGGGAAATCCTATTTCAGAAAGGTTATTAACACAAAAACAGATGAGAGAAAAAACAGGTCCTACAAATCAGTCTAGTCTGTGTATCATGACTTAATCCAACACAGTTCTATCCCTAGGCTTTTCAGTTGTGAGGGATTGATCATCTTTTTTTGTTTGTTTTTTGATAAGGATGCCCACCTTATTTACATGGAAAAACAAAACCAAGAGAAGCAGAAGAGAAAAATGCTATTGAGGAGGTTAATCTCAGGAAACAAAACTGGTACCAAGGTGTTTTTTTGGAAAATAATCACTCTTTCTATCTTCATATATGTATATATGTACAGACATATATAGAGAATACAATGTGATTTATTTTCATGAAATTTGCATACATTTATTAATTGCTTTAGCCAAGCTTTTAGATATAAGTTTATATTGCCTATGAATCCACCTGCAATGCTGGAGACCCCAGTTTGCTTCATGGGTCAGGAAGATCCCCTGGAGAAGGGATAGGCTCAGTATTCTTGGGCTTTGCTGGTGGCTCAGATGGTAAAGAATCCACCTGCACTGTGGGAGACCTGGGTATGATCCCTGGTGTGGAGACCATCCCCTGGTGGAGGGCATGGCAACCCACTCCAATATTCTTGCCAGGAGAATCTCCATGGACAGAGGAGGCTGGCATGCTACAATCTGTGGGGTCACAAAGAATTGGACACAGCTGAGCAACTAAGCATTAGCACTATCGTAACAAAAACGCCTAAGAGCCTCAAAATATAAAACATGGGAATGTGAGTAAATAATGCTATTTTTAAATAATAATGATATGATTTTCCCTACAATTTTATTATACTAATCAAAGTGGGGCCACTTTTGGTCACTGCTAAGGTGCTTAAAATTATAATATTACTGATTTAGTGCTCTACTAAAGATAAAACATTCATCAGTTCAGTTCAGTTCAGTCGCTCAGTCGTGTCCGACTCTGCGACCCCATGAATCACAGCACGCCAGGCCTCCCGGTCCATCACCAACTCCCGGAGTTTACTCAAACCCATGTCCATCGAGTCAGTGATGCCATCCAACCATCTCATTCATATATAAATATTAATGTTTAAACAGTAAGGTATATTAAAATTTAATATCCTATGTAAAATAGAAATTTGTCAATTGTACCTTAATAAAGCTGAGATATTTAGTAACAATAGAAACCTATTTCTAAGATAAACATTCAAATATTCAAAAAATTCAAAATATTCAGAACCTTTTCCCATAGTTCACATACCTGTGTTCATATCAAATGTCCAGGCAGGTATGTGATCCCCTGCACTCACATCATTTGTATGTAGAAGAGGAAGAGAAATTTGAATAGAGCCATCCACCTTTAATTCTTTTCCTCCAGAATATATTTTCACACATATTGCAGCAAGAGGAGTTAATTCAATGCTTTCAAAACCTAAAAACAGAAGACAGTTCATTAAAATCATATGGAAAGCACAAACTACAGTTATATATTAACAACAAACTAATATTGGCCTAAAATATCTAGTTCCTCTATTTCAACCAGAGTTAACCAGTGTAATACCAAATAGATACTAGATTCTATTTGAGGATCTTTAAACTATAAAATATATCATAAGTAAATGCTATACTTATGTAACACTAAGACATCATGTTATGAGTCTAATGATCTAATTCTCTCAGACTCCTCTGATTTAATGTCACTGGAATCTAAAAGTCAGTATTTTTTTGTCTTTAACTTTCTATTTTACATTGGAGTATAGTTGGTTAAAAATGCAGTGATAGTTTCAGGTGTACATCAAAATGATTCAGTTATACATATACATGAATCTATTCATTTTCAAATTCGCTTCCCATTTAGGTTGTTAACTAATACTGAGCAGAGATCCCTGCGCTATCCAGCAGGGTCTTTGTTGGTTATCCATTTCAATAATTTGATGTTTTTAAAAACCTACAAAACCATCAGGAAGGCTGCCTCTCTGTGAAGGAGACATTTGAGCAGTGGCCAAATGACAGGTGCCATCCATGCAGAGACCTCAGAGAAGAGCCTTCCAGGCAGAAGAAACCAGGGCAAACCCCCCAAATCAGAAGTGATCTTGGCATGTGTAAGAAGGAAGATGAGAGCGAAGAGGGAGATGGAAACAGCGTGAGGCCATGGAAAGGAATTCTAATTATCGCCGCCACCGAATCTGGTAATCTATCTTCAGTTATCAGACAGGGCAACCACTGGCTTATTGGAGATTTTCTGTTAAATATAAGGGATTTAACCTTTATAAACGTCCTAAAATTCTATCCATAAGATAAGTGAAGTAGTGCCATACATATTCTGCAGACTAGTTGCACTGGTAAGTAATGTACTGTAAAAAGTACTATGTAATCTGTAAGTAATCATATCTCATATCAAACTGTAAAACCAGCTGGCTTTTTTAACTCCACCCCTCGGTTCTGTGCAGTCAGTAGCTTCAAATACTGAATGCATCTGAAACTGATGAGGTCAACACCCCACCATTTGGAATAAGACCAACTAGAAGAAAAGGAAAAAAGAGTCTGAAAGACAATGAGGAGACTTTAAAAAAGCATCTTCATATTCACAGAACTCTAGAACAGTGCAATCAGTATATTAGCCATGAGCAACATGTGGCAATTTCAAGTTAAATGAAATTACCAATTTAGTTCCTCAGTGCACTGGTTATATTTCAAGAGCTCAACTGCCACCTGTGGCTAACTGCTACCATATTGGGCAGGACAGAACATCCCATTTGACACCATGGCTCTAGGACTTTTAAAATGTTAGCAGTGTCAGGACAATTGAAACGTCTAATGAACAATCTCAAAAGCAGGTGGTAGAGAAATGATGAAGGGCAGAATATGTTATAACTTCTTCCCACTGAATGTAATGAGTCTTGTTCATAAAAACCCTCCAGGGCAATATGAGCTTCATTTGTGATAGTGTATATTGGTTACCATGCTTGTAATGCTTTTATTTTGAGCATCCTATAACTTATACCTGGAAAACTTTGGCAGGTGTCTTAGATTGGCTTCTTCTCCTGAAATAACACTTTGGAAGGGAGGAAGCACTCATCACTGAGAGAATGAAGGAGTAATACAGAAGAAGGAAGTCAACACAGGATGTGTTAATGAAAAGGTATGTACACTTTATGTACTCTTTTCTGTCGCTGGTTGAGAGCCTGCCTCTTGTAAGGGCCAAGTCTGCTTTCTGGGCCAGGGAATGCCCTTATGCAGAGCCACAAATACATGCAGTAGGAAACATTTAGTCTTGTAACGGAAGAGAGGGTCATCTCCCTGGGGTATCAATAACATCAATTATAGCAGGTAAAAAAATGCCTATCAACCATAACGCCTATTTGTTTATTACTCTAATTTCTGACGAGTCCCCAAATGATATGGACCAAAAATCTGACTCACGTGAAACCATAAAAATTACAGATTGTCTGAGGTGATTTTAAAAACAGTGGAGTTTCTTACTGGCAACAAGTGGTAGAAATGGTGGAACAAGTGTGGATGTACAGAGGAAAGATACAGCTTTTACAAAGGTCATTCATAAGTTAATTGTTAAATAAAATATAAAATCCCATCACCTCCTTAACTTAGGTCATGACAGCCTTATATATTACTACTGCTGAATCTGAAAAATACATTTTTTCAATATTTACCCTTTTACTCAAAGTATTTCAAATATTTCAAAATTTCCAATTGCTCACTCCAATCTACAAACTTTTTTGTTTCCAACAATTATTGACACTTCTGATCAATTTAAGAATGATTGGTCAAATCATATGTCTAAACTTCTTAATCAAATTTCCACTTTTAAATGCATTTTTTAAATTTGCAAAATTTTAGAGTAAACATTACTATTTTCTATAGTTTGCTTACCTCCTTTGAATAAAAATACCCTGTAAATTAAATTCCCCATTAACTTGTAATTTATGCATAAGGTTCTGATATAATCTCTTTCATAATGTACTAGAATAAAAGGACTGTCTATAAACACTTTAATAACTGTTTATGTTTCAAAAGTGATGTCTCCTCCAAAGTGTAAATTAATATCAAACATCTAAATAAATAGTATTTGAATATGTACTGTTTTTATAAATAGATTATATAAAAATTAGGAAATACCTGACTTATTGAGAGTAATGCCAGTTGTATACAGAAAATTATCCACTTTCAAAAACTGTTGTAGAACTGTAAGGTAGCCTGTAACATTGCTAATATGATGGTTGTTGGGTAGTTTAATTAAGGCTTTTGAAAACTGAACACTTGGTTGAGATTTGGCATCTGGAAAAAGGAAATCTCATTAGCAAATAAACAAAACAAATGCACAGTAAGCACAGCACTATTGGTCAGAACATGTTACTCTAAGTGAACCAGTTATTTCTAAAACATTACTAACATCGTATAATAATGATTATTTTATATTCAGATCTGAATTAACAAGAAATGCCGCTTTCTTTAACTCAAAGTCCTGCAACTCAATATGCCAGCAAATTTGGAAAACTCAGCAGTGGCCACAGGACTGAAAAAGGTCTGCTTTCATTCCAATCCCAAAGAAAGGCAATGCCAAAGAATGTTCAAACTACCACACAATTGCATTCCTCTCACACAATAGCAAAGTAATGCTCAAAATTCTCCAGGCCACGCTTCAACAGTACATGAACCATAAACTTCCAGATGTTCAAGCTGGATTTAGAAAAGGCAGAGGAACCAGAGATCAAATTGCCAACATCCGCTGGATCATCGAAAAAGCAAGAGAGTTCCAGAGAAACCTCTACTTCTGCTTTACCGACTACACCAAAGCCTTTGACTGTGTGGATCACAAGAAACTGTGGAAAATTCTTCAAGAGATGGGAATACCAGACCACCTGACCTGCCCTCTGAGAAATTTGTATGCAGGTCAGGAAGCAATAGTTAGAACTGGACATGGAACAACAGATTGGTTGCAAATCGGGAAAGGAGAATGTCAAGGCTGCATACTGTCACCCTGCTTATTTAACTTATATACAGAGTATATCATGATAAACGCTGGGCTGGATGAAGCACAAGCTGGAATGAAGATTGCCGGGAGAAAATCAATAACCTCAGATATGCATATGACACCACCCTTATGGCAGAAAGAGAAGAACTAAAGAGCCTCTTGATGAAAGTGAAAGAGGAGAGTGACAAAATTGGCTTAACACTCAACATTCAGAAAACTAAGATCACGGCATCTGGTCCCATCACTTCATGGCAAATAGATGGGGAAACAGTGGAAACAGTGAGAGATTTTATTTTTGGGGGCTCCAAAATCACTGCAGATGGTGATTGAAGTCATGAAATTAAAAGACGCTTACTCCTTGGAAGAAAAGTTATGACCAACCTAGACAGCATATTAAAAAGCAGAGACATAATTTTGCCAACAAACATCCTTCTAGTCAAGGCTATGGTTTTTCCTGTGGTCATGTATGGATGTGAGAATTGAGCACTGAAGAATTGATGCTTTGAAACTGTGGTGTTGGGGAAGACTCTTGAGAGTCCCTTGGGCTGCAAGGAGATCAAACCAGTCAATCCTAAAGGAAATCAGTCCTGAATATTCATTGGAAGGACCGATGCTGAAGCTGAAACTCCAATACTTTGGCCACCTGATGTGAAGAACTGACTCACTGAAAAGACCCTGATGTTGAGAAAGATTGAAGGCGGGAGGAGAAGGGGACGACAGAGGATGAGATGGTTGGATGGCATCACCGACTTGAGAGACATGAGTTTAAGTAAGCTCCGGGAGTTGGTGATGGACAGGGAAGCCTGGTGTGCTGCAGTCCATGAGCAAAGAGTCGGACACAACTGAGCAACTGAACTTAGATCACACAAGGCACCTTTAGCCTAGAGCCTGCTTGAGCTTGATTCATCTGCCCAGAATTTCTTCACCTTTGAGTTTCACTCTGGAGAACCACACACTGACTCATGTGGCACATTCGGGGTTTCATTTCTGCAACAAGAGTAGAGGTACTGGTGCATGCCAGAATGGGCTGAAAGCAATCAATAGCATCTCATTATCCTCTTGACCACAGTGATTTGTTGAGTGATGGGACCTGTGCCAACCAGTTAACAAGATGCAATGTGAATTCTGGGCTTCCCAGGCAGCGATAATAGCAAAGAATCCACCTGCCAATGCAGAAGATGCAAGAGAATGGGTTCGATCCTTGGGTTGGGAAGATCCCCTGGAGTAGGAAATGGCAACCCACTCCAGTATTCTTGCCTGGAGAATCCCATGGACAGAGGAGCCTGGTGGGCTACCAGTCTATGGGATGACAAAGACTAGGACACAACTAAGCATCTGAGCACAGACAATGTGAATTTTGCTTGGATTTCCAGGGGCAAAGACATGCTATTCCCTAGTAGATTTACTGTGAGTGGGTATGTCCAGGAGTCGCAAAAGCCATCCTGTGACCAGAAATGAGAACTCATTTGAAAATAGACACAATAAGGGGTGGAAAGTTGAACAATGGAAAGAGTTTGAAGAGGCCAGTAAGGAGTAATGGCCTTTCTCTCCACACATGCAGGTCCTATTTACTTTTTACCCTTCACACACAGTTCTACATCCATCCTGCTGTGCACCACAAAATCAGTGCAAGAGTGAGAGATTCTACTACTCGCTCAGTAAATTCCTCCAAGATTAATCAAGCCCCAGCTTTTTCCAAATGGTAGTATTAGGTTTTCTTTAATACATTAGGACTAAATAGGATAGCTTCTAAAAATGAAGAATTTCAAAAACTGTTTTTTACCATGACTCTTGTCTTGGACTCTAAGGTTTTCTGCCTTTACCAGTCATTCCTATTATGCTTTGGTTCTGAACAGATTTCCCAAAAGAAATAAGTGAATTATTGTCACTTACAGAGGTTTTACATAATACGCAGTAAGAGTTACAAGATGCTGGGATTTCCCCTAAGGACTAGTTAAGGGAGGTGTGGAGGTAGGTGAGGATGAAAGCTATCATCTTCGAGGTTGCTAAGCAGAGTTGGAAAACACAGTTTGAATCCCACCCCAAATCAGGCTTCTTGTATTCCTGCCCTTGGGACATGTGAGTGGGGCAAATCATGTCTGCTCAGCAGATACTTAATTCCCCAGCCTCAGACCTTTCCCTCGAAGGCAGCAAGATTAATGTCAGAGGCAGGAATGAAGGTGACCTGGTCACAGGATGCCCCAAAGGTCTGAGTCCTTTTCTCAATTTCACCAACCACCAAAGCCCAGGAAGAGATGTGATTTGGGAAAAAGTTCAGAGACTCTTTCCAGTATTTCTAAAAGTCAAATGGTCTATTGAGGGTGGCTAAAATGATAAAAGAGAATGATTCCTACTACACACAAAAAATATGTATGCTATAGTTTGCTAGTGAACTAAGAATCAGTTCAGATCAACTTATAGTCAATACCAGTCATCCCAGATTAATTTAGATTTTTCCCACCTTATAATCAACATTGATCCATGGGTGAAGTAGTACAGTTATACAATACAGTCACTTTCAAGTGTTTACTTACTAGTTAAGAAGAAGTAAAGTACTTACCAGCTAATTTTCCAGTAATTAAAATAGTGTCTTCAAATAGCCATATATTTGCTTGGTTTTGTGGGAACAATGAAAGTGTAACTGATGAATATACTGTGAAATATAGCACAATTAGAATATTTTATTAGACATGGAGGGAAAACTGGGACAAATACAGTTCTGCTCCAGCAGGCCCTAAAAATGTAGGAAAAACAAACTGTGTGATGGGAAAAGCAATTCAAAACAAAGGAAGAATGACTGTAAAATAGAAAGGGGAAAAAAGGAACATAATTAAGTGAGAAGATTGGGCATCACTACTAAATTTTTTTTTAATTTCATACAATACTTTGTACCAAGGTGACTAATGATGTTCTCTAACCCTATATATATGTATATATGTGTGTGTGGTCAAGCTAAATGCTTAAACAACCCTCTGCTCTTTACTCTATACAATCATTACTTATTTCCTTATAGTTTTTAAAACCTTTTTTCTTGCCTTCATGATTTTAGGTTCTTTAAGGGGAGTACATCCATTCTTTTTTAACTTCCCACACAAAGGTTCAATGCTCTTCTTCACAGCGTGGTTCACCAAACAGACTGAGTTGGCAAAGGATGAAACAGTTTAACATACACATGACCCAGAGGCAACTTTTAGTAGTAGGCAGGATGAGGCCGAACCTGTCTACAAGAGTAGGTCTCTGAAATGACTGGTGAGATGAGGAAGTGCAGATCCCTGAAAGATAACAATTCTTTCAAGATGAGAAGCAAGAGGAAGGGATAAAAGACCATCATTTTATAAGCAAGAACAAGTCAGATAAGCTTACCAATCCTGCAAAAGAAAAAGATTTTGAGGTTTTATCTAAAGTACAAGTTCTCATTGATCTCTCCCCTCCGAGTGATGTATTTAAATATCAACAGAAACTATACAATACCCCTAAATCACTTAAGAAAAGATAAAATACACTTGCCTGGGAATACTTTTAATTAGAGCTTACTGTTAAAGGGAATATGAAAAAGAGGATAAAATATAAAAGTATACAAAAATTATGAGTGGATGTAAAACAAATTTTTTTCTTAAATAGAAAAAGAAGACTATCAATGAAAGTAATTTTACTTCAGAAATTATTAATATTTAGACAAGTTGTTGGAGTTCCAAGATTGGAGAGGAGGTGGTAGGATAATAGCTTGGACCTTGAGATGACTGGATCCCACACATGGGTGCTTTCTTAGTCCCAGGTGTTGAAAGGGGCTACCCTGACAGCTTTTTCCATTAAGCTTGAGGAGAATCTTTCTGAATCTCATTAAAATTTGCATTCAGACTTCCTTCGATTTACATAAATGTTTCTGATTTTAAAAGGGATGTACATCTTCTCTGGAAAAGTTGAGAAATACAGAAAAGGCAGAAAATGATAGTCATTACAGTACAATCATACAGAGACAATCACTATTAGTATTTCACTGTAGCTTTTCCTGGATTTTTCCTGTGGTTTAAAAAAGAGGGAGTATGATAGATCGTATACAGAGTATTTTCACCCTGTGTTTTCACTTAAGATAATGTTGTAAGCATTTCTGTCCCTCAGTAGAAACTTTTCATAACATTTTCAAGGTCACGTTTCTTAAAAAGTATCAAGATTCACTTAAACTGTATAATACTGTAGACTGTTTCCATTTTCACTATTACAGAATATTCGCCTCATTATCCTTGTGCACAAATAACTGTCCACTTTATTTGTATGTTTGTTTTTAGAAAAGATGCCCAACAAAGATGAAGATTTCAAAGACTTTGACACACATATTTCAAAATTGTCATCCAGATAATACTGCCAACTTCTCCTCCCACCAGCAGTGTTTGAGGAGGCCCATCCTGTCAATACTGAGTATGTTCACTCCTTAAAAACTTTCCTGAGCTGAAAAATCTAAGAAATGCATGTTTTGGGGGTGTACTTAAATGATTAGAAAGGTAAATATTTTATCACATTCTCTAATTTGTATTTCCTGTTTGAAAACTGCTATGTCATGATTCTGTCCATTTATATTACTTAGGCAGTGCCCTGGTGTCTTTTACTGACATGAATGAATTCTTAGCACATAAAAGATATCATTCCTTATTACTTCACATATTTTTCCTACTTTTTAAAATTATAGTGAAATTTACCTTTTATGACATCATTCATTGCTTTTCAGTTTAAAAAGACCATTCTAAGAAAAGATAGTTTATTAAATACAATTTTCCACATTTGAACTTTTTGAGCAATATATTTTGGAATATGGATTCAAATTAACTTACTTCAAATGGTTAGCAAAATATTCCAATATTACTTACTGAATATTCAGCTTTTTCCTCAATGATTTATAATGGTTCCTTACCATAGATTATATTTTTTATACCTACTAGTATCTGATTTGTATTATAGTACAAATCATAGTAAAATATCACAGTAAATCTGTAGCCATATATTTTAGTTATCTGGAATTTCAAACTGCCTCTAGTAAATCTCTTAAAATTTCAGGTATTTTTACACATTTATTCTTCAAGAACTTTTTTGCCAAGTATTTTGCTAAGGTATTAAATCTATAAATTAATCTGGGAAGAATTAAAATCTTTACAATATTCAGGGTAAGAAAAATATTTTTCCAGTTATCCAGTGTTTTAGTTGATTTTTTTTTTTTAGTTCTATCAGTAACATTTGGTAGTTTTATTCTCCTCTCCACAGTTACTTCACTTTTTTTTTAGGTTTCCCTTCTCATACTGTTCTGAGAAGCATTTATTTTCATTTTTTCTAATTGGCTATCACCTCTGGTATGTAAGAACATCTATTGATTTTTACCAGTGCTCACTTGCAGTTTTCCAGGGATATGATCATAACCACAAATAATGGCTTTGATTCTTCCTAATAGCTCTCCTCTTTTTTATGTTAACATCTTTTTGTTCTGATGAGAACTTCTACTACAATGTAAAATAACATAGATATCTGTATTTAGTTTCTTATTTTAGTAGGATCACCTCTAATATTTTATACTTAGTATGAGTTTGAGATACCTAAGTATATCTCTGTGGTCCTAGTTTTTAAAGAGTTTATCCTTGGTTACGCATGAATGGTGAACTTACAAAATACATTTCAGCACTTGTTGATATTATCACATGCTAGTTCCAATTTGTTCTAATTGTTGTTGTCCAATCACTCAGTCATGTCTGACTCTTTGAGACCCCATGGACTGCAGCACACCAGGCTTCCCTGTCCTTCATCATCTCCCAGAGCTTGCTCAAACTCATGTCCATCGAGTCGGTGATGCCATCCAACCATCTCATCCTCTGTCATCCTCTTCTCCTCCTGCCTTCAATCTTTCCCAGCATCAGGGTCTTTTCTAATGAGTCGGCTCTTCACATCAGGTGGCCAAAGTATTGGAGCTTCAGTTTCAGCATCAGTCCTTCCAATGAAAATTCAGTATTGATTGCTTTTAGGATTGACTGGTTTGATCTCCTTGCTGTCCAAGGGACTCCCAAGAGTCTTCTCCAACACCACAGTTCAAAAGTATCAGTTCTTCAGAACTCAGCCTTCTTCATGGCCCAACTCTCACATCCATACACGACTACTGGGAAAACCACTGCTGTCTCTGCTTTTTAATATACTATCTAGGTTGATCATGGCTTTTCTTCCAAGGAGCAATTTTAATTTCATGAAATTTTAATTTCATGGCTGTAGTTACCAACTGCAGTGATTTTGGAGCCCAAGAACATAAAACCTGTCATGTTTCCATTGTTTCCCCATCTATTTGCCATGAAGTGATGGGACCAGATGTCATGATCTTCATATTTTGAATGTTCTCTGGTGGTTCATACAGTAAAGAATCTGTCTGTAATGTGGAAGACACACATTTGATCCCTGGGTCGGGAAGATCCCCTGGAGAATGGAGTGGCAACCCACTCCAGTATTCCTGCCTGGAGAATTCTATGGACAGAGAAACCTGGTGGGCTAAGTCCATGGGGTCGCAAAGAGTTGGACACAACTGAGCAACTAACGTTTGACTTTTACTCTCCTCTTTCACTTTCATCAAGAGGCTCTTTAGTTCTTCTTCACTTTCTGCCATAACAGTGGTAACATCTGCACATCTGAGGTTATTGATAGTTCTCCTGGCAATCCTGATTCCAGCTTGTTCTAATAGTATGGATATATAAAATTAATAAAGTCTGACATCGGTATAGTCCTGCAAAGAAGAAAAATCCTACTTGGTCTGGACAATAGGCTATATTTAAATAATGGTGAAATTCTTTTTCACTATTCTGCTTAGGATTTTTACATTTCAAGTTACAGGTAAGACTGATCTATAGAGGGGTGTGTAAATGAGAAAGAGTATGCACACAAGAGGGCATTTAATTTTGCATTACCTTTGTTAGGTCTCAGGATCAAGGCTGTACTGATTGATTTGGTAGAATGACCTGTGGTACTTTTCCTTATAGTCTTAGAAGTTTTATCAAGAACGTTTTACCCATGATTATTAATTTACCTCATCTAAAAGCAATGATCATTTACATTATCACAAAATTGTTCATTTTATTGGATTTTTAAGATATTTGCCATCAAATTTGTTATCAATAACTTTTATGATTTTTAAAGCTTTTATGTATTTTTGTCAACTATTTTTAAAAATTTTTCTAACATATGCCAATATACTTCTATCTTTATTATTTCCTTTTCCCAATAGTTGGTTTCTTCTTTCATTGTTTTTCTCACTTTTGCTGAATGAATAGTTGTACTTAATTTCTATCTTTAAAAAAATTAAATCATTTGAGACCATGAATTTATCTCAACCATATCCCTATACAGATTTTCTACTCATTATTTTGCTAGAGTTCTACTCATGTGAATCTTATTAAATTATCTAATTTTTCATTTTCTTTCTCAATCTAATTTTAAATAGCTCAATAATTCAAATGTTTCCAATATGAAACTATAATATCTAAAATTTAAGAAGAACAATAAAATATAAAATTTTTGAAAAGACTGATTACCTAATGGATCATCCTTCCAATCAGACTTGTAGTCTGGAAACTGTCTGGCCATTTTCCCCCCAATATCCAATAGTTATACTGTCATAGTCGCTCCGTTGTGTCTAACTCTTTGTGACCCATGGACTGTAGCCCACCAGGCTCCTCTGTCCATGGGATTCTCCAAGCAAGAATACTGGAGTGGGTTGCCATTTCCTTCTCCAAATTAGTGATACTAAGTCCTACCAACTTTTCCCAGCTTTATTGAGATATAACTGACACCTAACACCATATAACCTTAAGGTGTACAATGGGATGATATGTGTATATATTACAAAATCATTACCATAATAAATACTGATTCTTTCTCCAGTATGCCTCTTGTATGCTTACCTCTCCTTTCACCTCCTTTCTTACATCAGGCTAGCCTTACTGTCCCCCAGCACAACCACAGTTTCATAGCCAGACTCCCTGAATCTATTTTAGCCCTGCTGTTGACCTATTCCCTATATGCTGTAAACTCAGTTTCTAAACAACTTAAATCCATGTGTTCAAGAATCTACAAGAACGGCTTTATTAGTCATCAGGTAAATCTAAACTGGTCATCTTACCTTTTGAGAAGGTCCCTTCCTCAATACTTTGGCCCATCCTAATCCTATAGGCATGCCATGCCCCCTACCCCCACACACACCTGCAGACAAGTTTTGTACCAGAGCAGAGCTGTTTCTCAGGATTTCTTCAGGCCTCTGTAGAAGGAAAAAGGCCTTCATATTTTCTTCAAACTGGCATGCCTTTCTAATCTCCTTATACTGGCTTCACATAGACAGTCATGTTTTCAGTTTACCAGAACAAGCAATTCTCAAAGAGTAAAAAATCATTTACATTTAGTGAAGGCAAAACACTATTTAAGTGCTTACTTGGCATTCTTCTGGTCTTCCAAGGTAGAGGTGTCAACACGTAGCCATCTTTGTAAGCAATAATGGTCAAGCTGAGTCCTAACTTGTAGGGTACTCTTATCAACACTGCTCCATTGTTTCTAGTTACTGTGGAATTTGTCTTTGTGTAGTTTACAAACACTTCTACAACTGCTTGACTGAGGTACTGACGACTGATGATGTCATTCACCTGGACTTTCAGCATAAATACAGACACTAGAAAAGACAGAAAATCACAGGACATTAAATCCTAGAAAGCATATGTCACTATACTGTAAAATGTCATTTAAAACATGTGAACAATACAAAACTGCTGAAAAACTTAGAAGATACATACATATGGATGGACAGAAAGGTGTTAAACATGCCAACAAATTCATTCTTCCTGAAACTGAATAAATTGAATATTATTAATAAGGTATAGTATTATAACTATTTTCTCTGCCGGTTAAAAGGGAAAGAAGGGAGAATAGTGAAAAATAGAAAGTGAGAATAATAAATAATGCAAAGACAGCTTCTGGCTTTAGGAAAATTTTTACTTATATGTAATTTTTACTTTATTATATGACTAATTTCTAATATTATCAAGTTACATAGATTTAGTACTAATAAAATACAGTCAAAGGTCTTAGAATAAAATGCTATTCACCATACCCATCAGTGCATGGGTAGCTCTTTTATTTTGTTCTGTTGTCTGGAAAGCAGAGGATGTGTTTTAGTTCCAAATCACAAAATATCAAAACAAAATCTCAGATGGACCTAGAGAATATTATCCTTAGTGAAATAAGTCAGAGAAAGATAAATACTGATCACTTATACATAAAATCTAAAAAATAATACAAGTGAATGTATACCCAAAACAAGCAAACTCACAGACACAGAAAATAAACAAGATAACCAAAGGTGAGAGGGAAGCTGGGGGGACAAAGTAGAGGTATGGCATTAACACACTACTATTTATAAAATAGATAAGCAACAAGAATGCGTTGTATTGCACAAGGACTTATAGCCATTACCTTGTAATAACCTATAATGGAATATAATCTACAAATATACTGAATCATTATGCTGCACTGCTGAAACTAATACTGTAGATCAACTATGTGTGTGTGCTAAGTTGCTTCAGTCATGTCCAACTCTTCACGACCCCATGGACCGTAGCCCATCAGGCTCCTCTGTCCATAGGATTCTCCAGGCAAGAACACTGCAGTGAGGTGCCATGCCCTCCTCCAGGTGATATTCCTGACCCAAGGATCTAATCTGCATCTCTTAAGTCTCCTGCACTGGCAGGTACGTTTACCCCTAGCTCCATCTTAAGTTAAAAAAATTTTTACTAAAATATAAAAAATATTATCAATTAAATATATAGACAATAAATTCAAGAAAAAAGAACTAAGGCTGGCTTCTAATTAAAACCTACAGCCTTACAGATTTTGACAATGTGTTTGTGGATTTATCATTGATAATATCTGCTACAGAAGAACTTTTACCACCGTGGACATGCCTCTCAGCATCACAACACCTTTGCTAAAAATGTCTTTCTTCTCTTCCACCATAAATGGGCTCTGTAGTCAGTCAAATTCCATCTTTGCCACTCCCTAGACGTGTGGCTTTAGGTAGGCAGTAGCTTACCTAAGTGAGTACACCTCTCAGTCCATTTGTTCATCTGTAAAATCAGGACAGCAGCCACTAATTTGAGCTAATAAAGTAAAATAATGCAAATAATGTGCTCCATATAGTGTTTAATTGTCAAATGAAATTATAATATTGTTATTTATAACAAAAACTATTACTTCACAATTGGAGACCACTTCACAAACATAAGTACATCACTAAGAAACATCTCATAAGGATTAACTATGCTGCTACGTGTTTGCACGTGTTTGCTATATTTAAGAATTTTTAGCAAGAACATCATGTCAGGTAAAAAATCCTAGTCAACACTGACTGAATTGCAATATTGCTACAAAACTGTTATCACGCCTTATCTATTCTTTGTTAAAATAATCTAGACTTTAAATTGCTTTTGGACCATAACAAAGGCATTTAGATCAAAACAGAATCGTCAAAAATAGAATCATTAAATTCTTATATAATATTAAAAATAAAAAAGTAACCACACACATATGCTGGTGCCAGATCATGGCTTCAAATTCAAATGGGAATATAACTCTTGGCAAAATAATAAAAGGTTGTAATAAAAAATGGCATGATGAGCTTCTAAACCAAATGTCCTTGTATAGGTCCACCTAGTACAATAAACTATGTGTAGAGGATAAATAGCTGTTGCTCAGTCTAAAGTAAATACCCCAGCCACCTGCCCCTAAACCCCTAGGCAAAATTTACTGAGCCACTGGCATAAAGCATCTAACTAGTGCAAACTCCAGGAGACAGTGGAGGACAGAGGAGCCTGGCGGGCTACAGTCCGTGGATTCACAAAGAATTGGACACAACTCAGAGACTGCACAACAACAACAACGCAGGCCAGACAGTCTGTCAGGCCCTTGAAATGTTGATTAAAGATACACAGAGGCTAACAGCTGCTGGAGCTGAATCATCTCTGGGAGTCTATAAGCTCCCACGCTCTGTGCTTCCCTCTCCTCCCAGAAGAAGGGTTGTTCAGCCCGCCCTGGTGATCTGTGAGCTGTATCAAACTCCCCCGAATCTTGTAGCACGAACTGGGTTCTGTTGCTCGCTTCCAAAGCAAGTACCTTAAATGACATAGGACACAACTGTAAGTACAGAGTATTTCATTCCTCAGATGGTAAAGAATCTGCCTGCAATGCAAGAGACCTGGGTTCAATCCCTGGGTCAGGAAGATCCCCAGGAAAAAGGAACGGCTACCCACTCAAATATTCTTACCTGGAGAATTCCATGGACAGAGGAGCATGGCAGACTACAGTCCATGGGGTCACAAAGAGTCAGACGTGACTGAGCAACTAACCCTTTCACTTTTTTCACTTTTCACCCTATCTTTCATAAGAGAAAGAAGGAAGGAAAATGTACGAAAATCAGATGAACCATATAAGAGGAATACTGCACACTACTATGGTTTTTCCAGTGGTCATGTATGGATGTGAGAGCTGGGCTATAAACAGAGCTGAGTGCAGAAGAATTGATGTTTTTGAACTGTGGTGTTGGAGAAGACTCTTGAGAGCCCCTTGGACTGCAAGGAGATCCAACCAGTCCATCCTAAAGGAGATCAGTCCTGGGTGTTCATTGGAATGACTGATGCTGAATCTGAAACTCCAATACTTTGGCCACCTGATGCAAAGAGCTGACTCATTGGAAAAGACCCTGATGCTGGGAAAGATTGAGGGCAGGAGGAGAAGGGGACGACAGAGGATGAGATGGTTGGATGGCATCACCGACTCAATGGACATGGGTATGGGTGGACTCCAGGAGTTGGTGATGGACAGGGAGGCCTGGCGTGCTGAGGTTCATGGGGTCGCAAAGAGTCAGACACGACTGAGTGACTGAACTGAACTAGAAGATAAGGAAATGAATAATTTTAAAAGCTTTTAAAATTTGGTGATGGGCCTTATTCAAACCAAATATACTACAATGTTTCCTTCAACAGCATTTTCAGGAATGGGACTCAATAGGGTATTTTTATTAATTTGTTTGCTCCGAAGATTAGTTTCAGAAATTCTCAGAGCCTTTGGATTTATAGACAAAGTCCCAGTGTAGTAAGATTCTAAACTAAATTAATTAAAAACTCTGCATATTCCATCTGTTCCATCTTTGTAAAAGTACAGTTGCCAAAATAAGACACCCAAAAACCTCCTGGCATTCTGAAACTGGATTTGATTCACAAAATGCCTTCCAATCCAGAATGGATGATTTTTTTTTTTCACATGTACTAATAATGTTAATAAATCTGATGAGAAAATGAGTATCAAATTCAGGAAAAAACAACTTGCAAAGGTCAAATCTTTGCTATCAAAATCACAGCCTCACTCTTTGAGATCTCCTATATCTATACCTTAGTTTGCCTGACAGACTTAGGATATAATGTATGCCTGACCAAAACTGTCCTTTCTAGCTCAAATGGGAAAAAATTAGTATTTGTGTAACACACACGCACGCTCGCGTGCACACACACAGCTCTTCCCGAGGCCCAGTACTAGAAACTTTACATACATTGTCCAATTTCATCCTAATACAAACCTGCAAGACTTTCCCCATTTTACGGCAAGAAAATTGAGGCAAACAGTGAGCAGCTAATAGAGCACAGGCAGGATTAACAGGTTCATTTTACTTCAAGTTCCATGTGTTTTACTGTACTTTCTCTCTCACCGAAAAGCCTTAGGAATTTGGTTTCCACCATATTTACTAGTTTCTGCTTTTAGAGTCCCTTGGACATCAAAGAGATCAAACCAGTCAATCCTAAAGGAAATCAACCCTGAATACTCACTGAAGGACTGATGCACAAACTAAAGCTTCAATATTTTGGCCACCTGATGGGAAGAGCCGACTCACTGGAAAAGACATTGATGCTCTCTGAGAAAGACTGAAGGCAGAAGGAGAAGAGGGTGACAGAGGATGAGATGGTTGGATAGCATCACCGAGTCAATACACATGAACTTGGGCAAACTTGGGCAAAGACCAGGAGGCCTGGAGTGCTGTAGTGAATGGGGTTGCAAAGAGTCGGACATGACTTGGCAACTGAACAACGACAAAACATTCACTAGCTTATTTCCTCCCAACCCGAGAAGTCCTCATTTGCTAACCCTCTGAGCCGTCCACCCACCTCCTTCAGCTTGATTTTTCTGGCTCCAGGATAAGCAGCAGCAGAAAACAGCATTTAAAAAAATAAAAATAAAAACCTAAAAACAAAATCTTGGCTGAAAGCCTAGTTATCGAAATTAAAGAGGCACAAACAACTCTTTTTCTCCCAAATAAAAAGTTATAAAGAATTGTCTGCCATGACTTAAACAACAGGATGCTTCTGACTTCTGTGATGTCAACAGTTGGATCAGGCAAATGGCACTGGCAGCCAGAAGTAATATATAGCCATAATAATCCCCCTCACTAGCTTTTTTCTCCAACAAAAATACTTTGGCATTTAGATTGGGCAGATTGTGTGGTTAAATATATGATTTTCCACCAGAGGTGCTTTTGTCTCCACAATCTACCTACTGTTCTCTATTGTATTTTTCAGCTCTCTATGCCCATATTGTTTTCTCTGTCACTTAATTATAATCATTATGTCT